GCTGAATAAAAATATCTTCCCAGGTCATTGGCTTGTTCTGAGGAGTAGATGTGGTCCCTACTGGAGGTTCTTTCCCAGCATCAACCTTATACCCAATACCATCATCCTTCATGACAGGCATGGTGCCTGACTTATCAGAAAGGTATGCATATTGTCTGATCTGTAAAGACCTGCATGGATGTAAACGATAAAGCTTTGAGTCTCCAGAAGGATCTTGACTATGAACTGACTTTATGTGTGAAGACATAAACTGATAGTTGATGAAAGACTTGCCACAGGCCAAACACTGATACCTCCTCTCCCCTGTGTGATGAATTTCATGCTTTGTGCGATATTCTGCAAGGGGAAAGACCTTCTCACAGTAACGGCAAGGATACTTCTTCTCCCAAGAATGAATGTTAAAATGTCTCCGCAAGCTTGTCAGACAGACATATGACCTTTTGCATACAATACAGATATAATAGACCCTTCCATCTACTATTAACTCATAGTGATCATCATGTTTTACCTTCATACGTTTATTTGCCGTCTCACTGCTAGATGTTTTTGGTATCTCATTCTCAAGTCTGGCCTCCCCTTCGTCAGGGTCATCTTTGACAGGGATCACTATATCATAAGTATCTTCACCAATATTTGCATAAACCTTGCAACCCGTCGACAAGCCTTCAATTTCAGTAGCTGTATCTAAAGTAATAATCTTCTGACCCTCCATTAGATGTTTTGATCCTAAACCTGGATCATTAGTGTTTCTAGTAATTATATCTGAAATTTTTAAAGAATTAGAAAGTGGCTCTTGCAGAAGTGTAGGAATCTGCATCTTCTGTATCAACGATCCATCAAAAGCGGTATTTGGGGGGATCTCAGCCTGTGGGACCAAAGATGTATTACTGACCGCCGAGTCTGGACTGGAGCTAATAGTGTCATCATCATCATCTATAATTTCCTCCTCCTCCTCTTCATTGGCCTTGTTTCCTGTTAAAACAGCATTGTTTGCTGGCTGCTGATTCTGCACAAGTACATTGATTGAAGGAGACATATGATTTGGAAGTGAAGAACTGACATTTGGTGGTGTAGTAAGTGATGTCTGATTTAATAAAATGATGTTGGGAGTCAGATGTGTTGGGGCCGAGGATACCAATAATTTTTCACTTCCTTGTGTTTGGTTCAGAGTTGCCTGATTCACAGAAGTAGGAAGTTTCTGAGTAGGTGTGATATTTGTTAAAGGGGGAGAGCTATTGCTCGCACAAGGTGCAACATCTGAAATAGCAACAGAGCCTGGGTTAGGCTGGACCTCTGCCACTGTATTGGTACTCGGCAAAGTCTCCTTTGCGGGCAGAATCTCAGAGCAGAAAATGACGTCATCGTCGTCATCATCTGAATCGGTAACAATGATCTTTTTCATCTCATAATCTTCAGCAGATAAGGAAAAAGACTCTGTTATAATTGGCATTATA